GGGGGGGGGGGGGGTGTACTCATAGTCGTGCATGCCGTAGTCGTTAGACCATTGACCTCGCATCCCTACAAAGCCGGGACGGAGCATGCCGGGTTCTCACCGGACCAGGCTCTCACATCACCAAGCGCGAAGCACCGTGAGGTATTCGGCAAGTCGCATTTCCAGAGGAGACATATCAGGAGACAGCACTTCACGCGGGTCGCAAGAAAAAAGAGAGTACTCACGCAACAAGCCTCCTAAGGAGGACTTGAATGATCGGACTGCTACATACAGAAATCGGATACGCCTGCTGCAGCCAGCCAGCCCTCTGTAATAGGTCGCCCTTGCGACGTTCAGAGAGAGAGAGAGCAGGGTTTCATGAATGCGAACTGGAATTTTCAGTTTTATGGGGGGGGTGGGGGGCACTTGGCGTGGGGACAGGAGGCACCATCGCCCTTGCATGGTCGCTCTCGACCAGCGCCCCCCTCCCAAAAAACAGCGGGCGTTCGGACCTCTCAGCTTGTAGTTAGCAGCATGAACTATTGAGACTTGGCAGCATGAGTGTTTACGCACAGTTTCCTTGAGAAACAGCGCCCTCTCGGTACGCTAGTAGAGTTCAAACAACCACAAAAAAAAAAATCCACAGCATTTCGTGAAAGGCGCCTGTCTCTTGCGAGTAACAGACATCGTGGCGCCAGCAGACTTGCAGGCGGCAGCAATACACCGACTTTCACCAAAAGAAACGCTGCCCTTACAGAAGCCGATGGTTTGTTTAGAGAGAGAGAGAGAGAGCAGCCAACGGCCATAAGAAAGGCTCGTCGAAGAAGTTGAGTGGAGTCATTCGCTCACCTGGGGCAGGCTCTCCACCATCTCCTTCGCTTCCCTCAGTCCAAGACCGGTGATCACTCTCACTTCCTTGATCACCTGAGAAGCAGCGACAAACGCAAAAGGGAAGCCGATAGGGAGTGCGATACTAAACCAACACACCAACTCGTGTTGTGGATGCATGTGCCACGTCCTGCGGTCGTTGTAAGGGACCGACGGCCACCTTGGACGACGCAAACATGTCACATTTCGAGGGCAATGGTGGGTCGTTCAGTTAGTCTACATGCCAAGGGAACCCGGGCTGCAAGCGAGGGCAACGTCGGCAAATTTGACAGGTCGGCTCAGGTATCCCCATACCACACGAAAGACGGGTCGAGAAACGCGTGGAAAAGTACGCAGAAGCACGTTCTTCGTCCGCCGACCGGAGCAAATGGTCGAGGCACGCCCATGACAAGTCAAAGTCAACCACGAAAAAGCCGAATACAGTAGCAACAGCCGTCCGCTGAAGGCCGCCGCCATCACCCGCCACTAATCCAACAAAAAAAAAAAACGCAAAGAACGACGGCAGCAACAACAACTTCAACAAATGCCACCACAGGGCAAAAATCACCAACCGAGACCATTTCGCCCACCACAGACCCCGACCTCACCGCCACCACGATTACCAAGTCGCCGCTGGCTGGTGGAGGTGGGGCTTTGCCACCAAAAGTCAGCGAGCAAGGCGGTACGGCCAACACCCGCACCTTAATCTTCGCCTTGTCGCCGAACCCGGTGACCTTGACCTTGAAGATGGTCTTCTCCGCGGCGGCGGCGGGCGCATCCCCGTCCCCACCGCCAGACTCTCCTCCGCCGTCCGCGCCCCCGAAGCTTAGCGTGGGAAGCTCATCCAGGCCAAGCTTGTTCTGGGTGTGGTGAGAGGCGACGGGCGGCACGAAGGAAAACCACAGAGCAGCAGAGGTTTCACGCACGCACTTGGAAATGCCACTTCGAGAGCGGTACTACAAGAAGACTTTCGGTTCGGCCGATTGCGCTGCAAGGGAGGGAGGGAGCAACCGGTGCTCTCAAGCTGGGTTGGACACAAAACCCGACTGTCCTGCTGCCGTTGACAGACTTGTGCCTTACATGTCGCCGTGATACGATCCGTGTCATCGCATTGCACCAAGCTTGTGCTCTACCACCACAACTTTCTTCAATTCTTGCACATCGTGATTCTACTACATATCGCGTACCACACGAGATAACACACCCGGTCATGGGATGGTTTTCGCTCAACATGAGCCCAAAACGTAAGAATACTCTCTGCAGGTCAAGTACTAGGGTGACAGCAGTTACTACCGCACTATAATCGACGAAACTCTCTTTTCAAACACCACAAATGTTGTCACCGGGGTGTTACGTAACTTCTTCCTCACCTTGAACACGTCGATCAGCATAGCCATCTCGACGAAGTTCAAAGACTCGATGCTCGCCATCACCTCCAGCACCTGTGCCACCATCGCCATCGTTGTCATCACCGGAACACACCATGCGCACACAAACATGGCGGGGGTGGAATGTCAAAGAAGTAGCTCTAAATTCTAACCTGGAATAACATGTTGTTCCGGGCTATGAGCTCTTGCATCCGCTCTCCGCGACACCCCTTTTCGGTGGGCGACCGCGATGGATGAAGCGCATTGCCCCTATTTTCGTTGAGTCATTCCATGTTTTGCCGTCGCCCCCAGCTTCTAAATACCTACACGTACCTTTCGCCTCGAAGTGGAGATCTTCGACCAGTGGTCATATTGACAAGAACTCCCCCGGCATATTTAGCAATGGTTATGAATACATCTGTAGGGCCTGCTTCAACTTTTGTTGTTCTCGTCATGACCCCACCACCAGCACGCGAAACTGCTTCTGCACTCACACAGAGCCATATAACGAGCAGTTGCCATGAAAAGTGTACTTAGAATACTGCTGTCGTGCCTCGTAGCAAACGCGCTGCGAAATGTGATCGATTTTCGCTCTTGCATATAGATACCTTCACCGCCGTATCGACCGGTGCACGTGGCCCTCCTGTGTATACAGCAGCCATCTAGAGCAACCTGCATCATTCCATGCAGCAGCAGCATCAAGACCATTTTTGTGCTACTCCCAGGAAACTTAAATCACCTTGGGAGACGGTTCGGCGACGATGGACGGGTCAAGCGGCGGCGGCGGCCCCGGGTCCCCGTCATCCTCCACCATCCCCTCCAGCGGGTTCTCCTCCACCGTGGAAGCGGCTTCCCCGTCCCCTGATTGCGCCCCGCTGCCGCCGCCCCCCCCTCCCCCCTTGCCGGCCTCTGCAGCTGGCGGCCCACTCGTGTCCTCGGTGGCGGCATCGGCACCAGCGGTGGTCGAGAACCTGACTCGGCCACCGTTGCCGTTGCCGGCGTCTGGTCTGTAGACAGGCGGGAGTGCTGCCGGCAGCACTCTTCCTCGTGCTGCCGCTGCTGCTACTGCTGGTGGTGTCGCCGCTACCACTGCTGTAGCGCATCCTCTGGTAGAGGAAGGTCCTACTGCTGTGTGTTTGCTGCTGCTGTGTCAGAAGGGGTGCAAGAGACAGCAGTTTGACGCGTGGGAGGACGTTGGATGCAGGACTTGCTCGGGACGTGAGCTTTTGATAAGATGATGGGGTCAACCTAGAGGGAAAAACTGAAAAACTCACATATATTACCCCTTTTTCGAGAAACGCAACGACGCCAAGTACCGGAGCTGTACCACATATAATGCTGACAACCCGAAGCCGCTGAGCTATCACGTAGTACAAATTTTCGCAAGCAACGAAACTGCTTTGGATGTTGTTCGGGTACTGCTGTAGCAGAGCATGGCAGGTAACCCTGCGTGCTATGCCGTGCGATGCATAACTGACAGAACAACAGCGGTTAGTCACATGACATGCACAGAACACAGGCGATAAGACCCGAGTTCGACGACGATGCCACAAGCAACAACGCATTTCCTGCGTCGAGAACAGAACCTCCGGGACCAAACCGCGTGTGTGTTATCCGATTGCCTGTCACTTCAACGGTACATGCCCGAGAGACGACGAAGAAACACACGATGTATGGAGCTACCAACACCGCACGTCTGTCTGTTGTACAAGGCGCCCTTGTCGTGCAAAGCACCAACAGGGTCCACTCGGTTGAGACAGCGCGCGCTGAAACACAAACATGCTGCTCGGAGCGTGCCGCGTACAGCCTCCAGCTTCTTACCTATCATCTAGCCCCCGCTGCACCAGTGGCCATGTCGCCGCCGGCGCTGGCGTCCTACATCTTCGCCCCCCGCTCGCAAGCCCCCGGCACATGGACGTTGCCAGAGTCATCGTTAGCGATCGAGTGATCAGCAACACAGCACGCTGTCCAGCGATAGACTCCTGCGCAGCAAGAACTCACTGTGCAACTTGCAAGGTACACTACAGCTCCAGGTGAAAATGGCAGCTATTTGCTTCTTTGAGAGAGAACTACAGAGGTTATGTCCTACTGCTGTTACTCTCTCGCTGTCGCGCCGGCGCCGCTGTGCCGCCGTCGCTGTGGCTGGAGGAGGGGGACCGCGAATAGGAATGAGCCGGAGGGATGGTCGGCTGGCATTTACTATTATCTGTGAGGTTGTCACTTGTGATTATTTGCCGAAGGCCGGGTTGTCCTTCCTTGACACAGCAGCAGTACTATTATAGTTGTGTCGTTGTCACGACCGGTCAAGCCCTGCTGATGGCGAACCCAACACAGCCTGGAATCAAGGTCATCAATAAGGATTTCAAGCGCGATGATAACGATACTGTGCTTTGCACAGATCGAGTCGAAGTCGAGGTGAAGCTGTGGTGGTAGATGCTGTACAAATTCGAATCCACGGTGCGAGCCCGAGTGCTCTTCCTCTCTGCCTCCCCCCCTCTCTCTTGAAGTCTTTCGATGGGGTGGTGAAGGAAAGTGTCGAGAGTCACACATGAAATGGTCGTGATGTATTTCATCCACGTGTGATGTGTGGTGCGACGTGCGACTTGTATTCGTCATTTTCAAATGCTCTGAGACACATGATATGGCAGAGTTCTGTCACGCCTGTCTGTACCAGCAGACTGCTGAGTAGTCAAGTTTAAGTTTTTCAATCGCGGCTAGGGCAGGACCGCATGCGAGGTGACGTCTATTCCTTCGACACTAATAGTGCTGTTCGTCTTTAGTTTTCCGTTGCAATATTTCCGACGCGTCCGCATGTTGCGTTTTAGAAGCTAGAAAAGTCTGCCCTCCGTTACCCCGACGTAACCTCTTCTGTGTTACGTGTGTCCCACCACTACTGCACGGCGACCGCTTCGTGTTCTTCTGCCTTCCTTCGAAACCCTGAGTTCGATGGGGTAACGCTAGACTTGGCGCAGTCGTGGGAAAACGGGGAGGAGATGGCGCCCATTTTCAGCGGAGCGTGCTGGGCGGGCACCGTGGTCTGGCCGGCTGCGCTGGACCTGTGCGACTACATGAGCGAGCACCTTAGACAGGCGATGGTGGGGGCCACTGTTGTGGAGCTTGGCTGCGGGATGTGAGCCAAGGTTCAGGCAGAGCATTAGAGTAGCACCTAGGTTTGTTGTAGGACGTCCATCGCTTGCTGCTTGCTGCTGCAAGGGGCGCCCCCCTCTCTGTTGTTGATGGCAATGTTGCGACGTCATCCATGAAAAGACTTGTCGAGCTTGATTGATCTTACACCCAGCTGATGCCACACGCCAGCTTACAAATTGTGTTGCGCGTGCCCGGGTTTCAGCGTGTTGCTTCTCTGTTCGGGTACGACTCGCACACGACTGTATCGATCACACGAAATCATCCCTCCAAGGTGTCGGTCGGCCTCGTTCCAGCCCCCCCTTTCCCCCTCTCCTAACCCTTCCACCCCCAAACCACAAAAAAATGAAGACTACACCCCACACTTTCCCTCGGTGCCGACACGCGTTCCATGCGACGAAAAAAGCGGCGTGCCGGGCATGGTTGCCCGCCTCCTCGGGGCTACCGTTGTCCTCACCGAGCAGGACGAGCTCCTCAGCCTTCTGGACAGAAATCTCGACGGCAACTTCGCGGGGCACCCGCGGGGCGAGGGTGGCATCCGGAGAGAAGCGCTGGACTGGGAGAGGGAGGCGGACACGGACGGCCTTCTTGCCTCCCTGGAGCGTTCTGGCACTGCACCGGGAGAAGCAGAGGGAGAACCGGGAGCGGGCGTGCGGAGGAGGTCGACGCGTCTCGACTTCGTCCTCTGCGCAGAGTGAGATGGCAACTACTCTCAGTGCTGTGTCTGTAGCTCATGCAGTCGGAGGTGGTGTGGTTCCAGAGGCCTTGTGATTGAGTTTACAACCAGGGTTGGTGATGCCGGTTCGCTAGAGTAGCCACGTGCTTGTTTGAGAATGTGCATTTACCACGGCAACATGAGCAGCAGATGCGAATTGATCTGTCCTCTGCAAATAGTATCCGCACTGCTATGCATATTGCGTCAATTTGTGAGTGCCTGCACGTGCCGAACTATTCCTAAGCAGGGCCCTACTCTGACGCAAGCTGCGCTAAAGCCTGCCGGGCACAGCGAGATACTGCGACAAGTCTTGGACATGTCAATCGTGAAGCAGCATCACTAGACCCTAACCGAAACGTCTGTCCTCTTCCTCTTCTCATCACGGCTAACACGAATCTATCTGCTGGGGTTGGTGGCGAAGCTGCGTGTTCGAGCCGCTGTACGGCGACTCCTGGAAGGCATTGGCCAAGGTGACGTCATCATTCAGTGTTGAGGTTTTACTTTTATGCAAGCCCTAGACATAGTTTGTTGGCATTGAAAGCGCTTCTTTCTCGCCAAAACCATTGTTCTTCTCGTGACACTGCAACCTGATCTGGGGTCGACGTGCACGTTTTGTGGACTCCAAAAAGCTTTTCGTTCGCTTTTTGGCGACGAGTGTTTTGTCTTTTTATTATTCGTGGCGTGTGAAGCTGCAAACGGCGCTGTCGGGGCCTGGACAAAACAGAGACCCAAAAAGAACCCCAACCCCCACCCTAGCCTGGGCCGGCGAAAACCCGGCGTGTCGCTCGGTCCCGGTGTTATGGGGATGCGAGGTCGTAAGGTCGTCAATGGTCTAACGACTACGGTACGGGCGTTACATGAGTACACACACCCCCACCCTCGCAAGGCGTGTCATTCCGCCGCGCTTTTAATTAGCGTGGTCTTCCGTCTCTCTCTCTCTCTTGGCCCTCTGCCCGTATTTTATGCCTTCTGTTTGCTCTCCGTCGGTTTTCGGCACGCTCGGTCCTCCTTCTTCCCTCGGTTGCTTTTCTGTGATGCAAAATGATTGGACTACATGTTCACCATGATAAAAAGTTTAGCAGCCCTCGCTTCTGCAATACGGTACCGACGAACCCAAACCTAACGTCCACACGCGCCCGTCTCTTATCCCTGTGCACATTCAACCCGGCTTAGGTGATGGGACGCCTCAGCGACGCAGGCACGACCGTCCTCTGCTCCGTGGAGCGTCGAGGGGTCGACGGCGTGCCCGAGTTCCTCCGAGCGTGCGAGGCAGAGGGGTTCTCGCTGCAGACGGTCTACCGAGCCGCGCCGAGCGCGCCGGCGCCGGTGGAGCTGTACGAGTTTTCCAAGGGGGTGTTTCGAGGAGAGGCGGTGGCCGTGGTAGAAAGCGACGGTGGTATGGAGGGTGGCGACGGCAAGGGCAAGCCGATGGAGGGAGAGGGAGGCGGAGCGTTGGAGGTGGTGGATGGTGGAGCCGTAAGTCCAGGGGCGGGGTCGAAGAGCACAGCGAGATGATCGATGGTGGTGGCCGCTGGGGCTCATGTAGCTTGGGGTCAAGGTTTACTTGGATGGCAGACGCATGTGGAGTGGACGGGCCACTCCAACTTCAAAAGTTTTTTTGAACCCCAAGACCAACCAACGGGCGTGTTTTTATTGTTGGGAGATGGCGCACCCTTGTGTCCAAACGAGAGAAAACGCCGAAGCCTTCCGCTAAGAAAAGGACGTGGATGCTTCTCTCGCCACAAGCGTCGGACGTCGTTGCATCATCATGGTAACCGCGGGCACGCGGAGCAGGCAAGACGATCCGTATGGCCAGATTGGCGCAGTAGTTCATCAAGAGCTCTCACGATATGCTCGTTACGTGTGATGCACGAAATACGCCACACGTGTGCTCTTAAGCGACATCCTTCGGTGATACCTCTGACAACTCAAATGACATCTCTCCCTCTTCTCCTCCTTGTCTCTTCTTGCCTCAAATGTTTATTTAACCCACGCATTCCTTCGAAGAGGTGCCCATCACCACGCCGATAACACCACCCTAGAAATGCGTTGAGGTGGATTTAAGACACACACGGGAAGGCATCGATCCCTCTCCTCTCCTCACCGTGCTACTGTATTGTAGGAAGCCAAAGTGCGTAGTGAAGAGACCCAACCGAAGACAACATCATTATTCAACCACAGCAGCCTTACGAAACTTCGGGCAACTACACTGCACCGCCGGAACCAAAACAACCAGTTGCTTGGGTTGGCGGGGGTGGACACAGGCCAAGCACTTCAATACGTCAGGATGGAACAAACCAAGAGAGTCAGACAAAAACGCCTCCTTATACAACACAACACACGAAAAGGGGCCCCTGCAAAAGCCACACTGCATCCCCCCATGTGGACACAACTGTCAGTGGTATCATCACGCCCTCCAGTATACAGACGAAAATAAGGTGTCAGTGGTATCATCACGCCCTCCAGTATACAGACGAAAATAAGGTGGTATATGGTACGCCGTCAAGCGCAATAGGTATGCAAGCACAATGACTTTCGGGAGGGCGTCGTGACTATCGACGAACACTGAACGCATGCAGGGCACTCATGGCTACTTCCACCGAAGACTTCATCGGCTTCCCAGGGAAGCGCATTTTCTTAGCGGGGAAGCGAGAATTCGAGATCTACCGGAACAACACACACACCACCACATCACACACCACAACGACGACTTTACGGGTGTCTCGGTCCTGGCTGGTATCCTACTGCCGTACAACAGCAGCAGCACCCGCCGCCGCCGCCGCAGTAGGCAGCAAAGCAAAGCGTGCCGGGGCAGCAACAAAGACGCGCCACCGGCTCCCATCGCCACTCACCGCTGCACAACGGTAGCGCTTTCGACACTGCTGCTCTATACATCCAGTCGCGCCCCATGCAGGGCGTCACGTACCAAGTATCCAGAGTGGACACCAAGCATGCGCACAGCCCGTACCGCATTCTTCGTGCGCGTTCCTCCCGGCCTTAGTGTTACAGCAAAAAAAATCCTTGCTTACTACGAAGTGGTACGACACCTTTCGCCAACGCCCTACACCCAAGCAAGCGAGACACGCCAGCTTTGTGGTGAAGTCATGACGTCGTCCATGTCCTGAAAGGGGCACGCACTCAAACCAGCCTTCGGAGTAGAGTGCAGGGTCTTGGGGGAGGTCACGACACTACACACGACGGCTGGTAGTCGTTCGCCTTCTGAACCTGTGCGTTGAACGAACAAGAGACGCGGCCATAGCAAGATATGAAGCAAGGATCAATCGCTAATCACAAGAGCTTGGGTGCACCCAGAGATGAATGACCGTCGGTGCAGAGAGATCAAGCGCGGGTGACCTTGCCCACCGCAACACAATAGAGCCCTTCTCTTGAGAGCCAGTGGGTGTCGTGCAACAGCCACCCCGCCCTATCAACAAGACTGCTTCCAGAACAACGGAACAACGGACAAATACCACGGCTAGCTCCCATCTGGAGTACATAGCTTCGACTCAAACGCGGATACATGGCATACCTGAACTAAACCCTCTTGGGCTCTCGCGTGCGCCCCTTCCGTGTTGGTCTCGATTTCCTCCACCGCTTCCTGCTGCTGCTCCACGATATTCGCCAAGTCTCGGTAGATCTCGTTCACCTGACGGCACGGCGATGGACCAACACAAGGCAACATGTTCGTTCTCCAGCTTGTTGCTTTGGGTTCTCGACCGAAAACACCAAGGTAAGCGGAAAGACAGTCCTTGCAACAGCGTATATCTGACTGCCACAGCACTCTGTTGACAACGCCGCGGAGTACCGCCCGCTCTCCATGCATGAAGCCGTTAAAAAAAATCTCGCTGGGGGACCTCAGCTGAGTTGAGAGATGCACAAAGCTGCGCTTCAGCCGCCAGGACGCTCACCCTGAAGAACACATCAGTACCCCCAACACTTGGTGTAGTAAAACACCAACAACATCGTGCTGGACATCTAGAGGAGAGTTTGATGGCCGTGAGACATAAAAAAACGAAAGCAAGGTCGGCGTTCACGTCCCCGTTTGCCCAACTACACTATCCCCACCGTCGACCCCGTCACACCTTGTACAGGCTCTTGTTGATCTGCTGCAGCTCCTCCTCAGTCTCCTGGATGATGGCCGTGTTTATTGCCTCCTCCTGCATCTGCACTCGCTCCCGCCGTTGCTGAACTTGCATCATGCCTGTCGCACAAAACGAGCCAGAACGAACGGGAATCAAAGGCTCAATACGCAGGAGACACAAGACAAAACCCAGCAAATCAAGCAACTCCATGCCGGGTGCACGCAATATTTTTAGAACGGGCGGTGGTTGTACAACGGACAGGAGATGCAACGAGATGAGGACGGGAGATAAAGAAAGAGCTGCGCCAGACGAACAAGATTTCATAGGTCGAGCACAAGCGTTAAACTGCTGCTGCGCAATTTCCTACGGGTATTTTGTCGACCTGCTGTCATCGTGGTGACACTCGGCCTGAACACAGGGACCGCACACGCTACCATTTTGTTGCCCACAAAACGAGACGGCCCTGGGAACAGTCTTAACGAAGCACAGCAGCCGTTTGGATATATCGTTGTTGCGCTGCACGCTGCGGGATTGCAGGTGGGCAAAAAAACGAACTAAACATCGGGGTCGTCTTCGGCAGGCTTGACCGAGAGGGAGTTGCGCGGGGCAAGAAATGGACCAGACGCCACCATCAACGGCATGCAGGAACTCACCCTGCGGTTGGCCGCCTCCGGCCCCGGCGAACGCCACTCGTGCTCGCTCCTCGTCCTCCTCCACCTGCGACTGCCGCTGAGCGTCCACCTCTCGCATTCTACGTTCCGCCTGAGACAAGGCCCGAGCAGTGTAAAACGATAAGCGCACCGAGTTAGAGCGATAAGACCGCGCACAGAAAATCCCGCAGAACAGGCAGCTTCGAAGATTTGTCTTGTCAAGACGACCAAAAGCAAGCAACGCGAGGGAAAACGAAGCGCGAGGATCTTTCATGGGGCTCTCTCTGTGTTGTGCAGCTGCGGAGGCGTACAGGTAAAACCTCGTTCCGCTGTTCTCTGCGTATGTTCGCGTTTCCGACGCAGTTCGAGTCGCAATCGTGCGTTGTGTGAGCAGTTCGCCCACCGCAAGAGTTTTCTTATCGAACAACCCCGTTCGCAGGTTGATCCGCATGTTCGTTCAGTCCCTGGTGACACGATTAGAAGCCAAACTGAAAAATGAACAACCAAGCATCGTAACGCCCCTCTCTACACATACACAAGCCCCGCGATACGATACAGGTGCAGGCAGGCAGGCTGGCACCATCAAGCCCACTCTTCCTTTCCTTTCCGTCTGCCCTCCAACCTCAGGGAACGCACACGCAACACCGAACACTAGGACTCCCACCAAGTCCGGTACCCGGTAGGCTTCACTTCATACTCACCCTCAAGGTAACACTCCCTTGAGGGGTGCCTCCCCGGAAAGGTTTTTATACCCAAAAAAACACAACAAGACGAAACTCGCAGCAACACGTACATCATCACACACAACCCTCACAAGACTGACGCACGTTCATTGTCGGCTACCGCTGCCGATGCCAAGAAACACTTTGACGTCTTCCGGTCGATGTTAATGCAAGACACACCTATTAATACACACATTACAACTGTAGACGCACCTGCGTCCCCAGGTCCAGCGCGATGGCATTGACTCGGTTGAAATCCTTGGTCAGCTTGGAGTTCATCGCACTGAGGCGTGCAGCGTCCTGCCTAGAAGCCCCCTCGGCCTGCTGCTGCTGCAGCCGCATCTGAACAGGTTTCCACAGCCCCGTCGGCCGCGGCGAGCAAGGAACAAGCAACAGACGGTGATAAGTGTGGCAGAGCGATGAGGAGGGCGATGTTGCCGAGCGGATGTACTTGTCTGTGGGGCTAAAACTCAGGCCATCGACCACTTGAGCACGCGTCCGTTTTGAGCAAAGCAGGGTCCCCATGCTAAAAGGAAACGTCTCCGTCATTTGGTTTTAAGGATCGGCACGTTTCGCTCATCGCACCTCCCTGCCAGCGGCCTACGGCGGCCATTACAGACCTCCTCAGATGGAAAAATAAGTGAGTTCTCTCCCTGTTCTTGGCATACTGGTAAACGAGTGATATTAGTGCCACATCCCTCTATTTTCTGTGCCTCTCGCGTCCACGTGGAGGTCGTCTATTCCCAATATTTTCGTATGCATGCGTGCCTTTCCCGGCAACAATAGGTCGCACCTCCTATTGTCTTGCCAAGGGCTAATCTGACGTCTCTTCCTCGTCGTACTTCTCAATGCAACCTACAGAAGGGGGGCGGGGGCGGTACAGCGGAAGGCCTATACAGTAGAGCTCAGGCTTTCGTACGAAGGTCAAGGGTCATTCTACAGCCCTGTCCACAAGCTCGCGTGGAACCAAGAGAGAGACATGTAGGCACGACATTGATACACAAAGGGATAGATGGATCATAGCGAGAGAGTAGCGGCAACAGCATCCAAACTACACCGCACGACCACTACCTTGCTGCGCAAACACAGGCGGATCTACTTCTTCTGCCGCCCTACCTGGGCCTGGATCTTTTCTCGAAGTTCGCCGATAACCTGCAGCTGGCACCGGCACTGCCCGCGGAGCTCGCCGGTGTCTCGGGCCGTGCCTAGCTGCTGCACCATGCGGTGCAGTAATGTGACATTTTGCTGTCCATGTGTGATTAACCAGCGTTGAAGCAACAACAGAGGCGGCAAAAAATTGTAAGACGATGCATTTGTGATCGTGCCCAGAAAGTTATCTCGAATACATACCTGCATGATCGTATGCATAACCGGCTGGTATGTCTTGTGTGTAACGGTATCAACGCCTCTTGAGAATAGTCTCGTCGTCTCTATTTGCCTTTTCGGGCCAGCAGCAGGATAGATAAGATGCATACGATACGGCTAGCGAAACGCCTCGTGGACTAGTCTACAGCTGACGTTTCGCGACATCGGCCAACAATGGCCATGAAAATGTCGTGAACGGGCGTAGCTAGGAAGGGGACCTGGCCCGATTTGTAGACAGCAGAAATGGCTTCGGTGTGGCGACCGGCGACCGGCGACCGGAGAGCAGCAGCATCAGTCGCAAGATGCGACTAATCCTCTCTCGCCTAAGACTACCGACTCTTCTGCATGCCACGTGCTTGGTAGACCTTCGTGGTCGGAACGCCTTGGCTCGCCGGATTCTGCCGCGCCGTGGAAAGCGACGCTAACGTTTCGTGCTGAGCCTGATCCCGGGGGGGGCCGAGTGGCATGGGAGCCACATCTGTGCTGTATGTATGGAGACATTACAAGCCACGCGGACTTGTCGCATCAATTAATCCTGCCCTTGCCCAAGGTCAGGCATGATTTCGTCCGCTCAAACAAGCAAGAGACGCGCTATGTAATGCGGAGGAGGTTTTGCTATTGTTGACAGGGTACAAAAGCCACCACGAAGGTTTCTTTCTCCTTGGATTGGATTTCTGCCGTTGATCTTTCTGGAAATGTCTACAAAAATAAGGGTAAAACTCTGGTGGGAGTGTTTTCGGTTCCAGCCGGCACCACTGGGCTTTCAATGTCAGGGGCCTACATGTATCACGTAACTCCCAGAGTCTGGTCCCGTAAATTTGTCTCAGCAGGTATCATCTACTTGGTGCTTCAGGGGCACTTACCTGGAGGTATTTACAAGTAGTGAATGTCGGGTGTTCGGTGGTGTTCCGACTACAAATCGGCAGTAGATATTTCGCTGCTGGGACAGAGGAGTGTTTGGAAAAGTGCACAGTAAACATGCGGCGATCCGAAACCAACAAAAGCTTCTTGCCCACGGCGTCGCCTCGGCGCAGCCACCCTTCTGGCACGGCTATTTTGTGCGATGACTCCGCAGATTTCGTACAGCAGTACATCAGTGCAAGTTGAACTCTGCAATCGCTTGTGTCTCCCATTTTTCGAACATTTGCACCCCATCTCTTGCTTGCTAGAGTATAGAAGTGTGGTCCTTTGCAGGGCCGAGAACCAACGTTACAGCACTGGCACGGGTGTTAGGGGGTTGCTCCAAGTCTAACAACCGGCGAGAGTAAGAGAGAGAAACCAGAGGGACAACAAACTCGCTCCACGCAACAACGGCATGGGAGAGGGAGAGTGGGCAAAACGTACGTATAGTCTTGATTGCCGGATCGCGAGGGTATCGGACCTACTTCCGTGACGCATTTATAATAGCAGTGAAACTACGGGAGCCGAACGTGGCACAACACTCACCGAGTAGATCATAAGGTAGTCCCCGACCTTTCCCCCCCCCGACGAACCGCCCCCTAACCCTCCCCCTACGCCCCCGGCTGCTGGTCTGCTGCTGCTGCTGCTGCTACCCAATCCTCCGTGATGCAATGCGGCGGCACCTCCTCCGGCGCCAATCCCGCCTGTTCTCAACGGCCCCGCCGAGCCGAAGCCCCCCTCTCGCGCTCCCTGCCGCGAGGCATCCGACCACCCCCTCCCTCCTCCCGATGGGCTGCTTCCGTTCCGTCCCGAGTAATAGCCACCGCCGCCGCCGGCCGATGATGATGTCGTTCGAGAGCCCCCTCCGTTCTGCTGCTGCTGCTGCTGCTGCCACCTTGATGGCTTCTGTCCCGGGCGCACGTCTTGAAACGACATCTCAGTGATCGCGGCTCCAGGACGGGGGGAGAACCAGCACCCTCTGCCTTCGAGACCCCCAGGAAAGCGCTGGTAGTGGAAGCTGGCGATGAGGCACGCAAAGCCGGGGTGTTGGTGGGCCTCCGTGTGTTGAGGGGGCCGAGTCGCCGAGTCTGGAAAAACGATGTTCCGTCGGTAGCAGATGCGGGGCAATTACGGTGCGCGAGAACCGGAGAACAGAGAACGGAGAACGGATCACAGGAGTTTGGAGTTTGGAGTTTTCAGAACGTGCAGTGGTGAACCGACGTGATATCACCCAGAGAGAGCAGTAGTGGCCTTGTTGTGAGAGGGAACAGCACGACGCACATAGACATCGAGAGAGAGAGAAAGCGCGCTTGGTGCGTCTTCTGTTGATGCGGGGAGTATTGGTGTTGAAGTTCTCTTGAACACAACAGCACTGCTGCGGCACGTCTCGGAGAGAGAGGGAATACGGAATACATACAAGCGACCATTGCACGCTTTTCGCGCAGAGGATAGGGGAATAGGGGGCTTTGCTGACCATGGAAAACCCGATGGCACCTGCAGCTGAAGAGGACGAGATGGCGGAGATGCTCAAAAGCGTTAAGAGAGACGGGACTGAACTTTCTCTCGCCTACCGCCCGTTTGGCAGCGTTCCAGGTTTGTTGTTTCTGATTACCAAGTGATGACGTGACGTCGTCTTTCTGAAGAGGTTAGAGAGAGGGTGTTCCTCCGACCACAGCCCACAGCACGAGGTCCTAGTGCGCGCGGCCGCCTGCTGCTGATATTGATTTGTTTAAGGTCGAAGGCCATACACTGACTACCTTTTACTGCTGTGGGATGTCACGTTACGCTGAAATACGTCGCGATCCAACAACACGATACAGCAGTGCACGTTGTTGATTTGATGTACAAATCGCTCTCGTATTCTCTTGTACCATGGTTACGTGTGTGCAGGACATCATCTCTTCCTCCCGTTCAGCACGCAGCTTGACGTCTTGCTTAACGGTACACTACTACTCTAGGCACATTCCCGTGAAGACAAGGCGGGGAAATCATACTACTTAAATTGGCCCAGCCCGTCGAAGAAGATGCACTTTTACACTTAAATTCCCTGTGTTCTTTGGCCCGGGCTCCATGTTGTACGAGACGCCCCTGGTTTAGCACAAAAAAAGAGAGGGTGTGGTACGTATGCGTGTTGTAGCTGCGAGGCAATACCGCCGTGCTTGTTCAGTGGCTATTGTCTCAAGAGGCGTAATGCATCATACCCCGTTTGCCGCAGTCTCGAGGCCATTGACCACACGTCTCTGCTTGCACAGAAGCACCGTCTCTTCTGCTGGAAGATTAATGCCTGCCTCTACCAGCGTTGAAGGTTCTGTCGATAAACTTGTCCTATGATACAGATAAACTTGAACAATACAGCAGTATTGCCCAAACTGTTTCTCGCCGTATCAGGGCCAGCGCCCGTTGCCCTCAACCGTCGTCTCCTACGCATACAATACCCTCTCTCCGTGTTATGTAGCCGTTGTGCTGGGGTTGAAAGTTAACAAGGATCACGAACAGAGCCAAATCTTCGATTCCATTGCATCGCGTAGCGATTGCGTCCAAAACAAGCGAGAACCGACAAGAGCAGCAGTTTTTTACCGCGCACTCGCCGCTGCTCTAGGCACTATTTTAGCCATCCCGTCCTATTTGTGTGGTGTGTTTAGCTGCGCTCAGCCTCATGCCTGCGCCGGAGTTGGCACGCTCATGTGCATGCCGTGATTTTCGCGTGTGAGTGCCTGACTGAAACGTGTTCTGCGTCGAGCTCCCTGCCCAAATCATGTTAAAATGAATACTCTTCTTCTATTGATTCATGCTCACGTTCTCGGTGCACCCGTCCAACAGAATCGCTGGCTCTTGCGGAAGGGCGATACGTGACCTCCCTCAATCTCACAGAGTGCGACCTCAAGTGAGTTACCGTTTCATTGCAAGTCCGCTGTGCGGATAGGGTGGGTCTCACAACCGTAGTAGGTGCGTCTGACAGGTTGTTCCATCTGCCCACGTCCCGGTGTGTGCAATAACCGTGGAAGAATCCCCAAGCGAGGCTGGCTGGTGTTCAGTGACGGTTTCACCCCCTCTACCACCGAAAAGTGTAGCGACGAAGCTTGGTTATTCCAAGCCGGCTCGTCTTGACTTGTCCGTGCCCTGATGCGTTTGGTTCTTTTATCTCCATCGTTTATCTACGCCGCTCGATCTTCTCCTCCTTGGTCGCCGCAGATCTTTCTCCAACCTGGTCTGCTTCCCTTCCCTACAAACCCTGGTGTTGGATAAGAACGACCTTGAGGACATCAAGGCCTGCCCAACCATCCCGACGCTAACCACATTGTGGTTCAACAACAACAGGGTGAGCGAACGGCCAGCGAGTGTTGCTGAAGCGATCGGACCCCAAAAAGTCCGATTTTATGCGGCAAGTCACTTTTACCTTTTTCCTCGAATAGAGTGTGTGCATCATACGGGATTCAAGCCATTCATTAGTGTTCTTCTTTCTCGCCCCCGTACCCGTTGAACCAGACAGTGCGTCTCCTAGCCCATCCCCCACCAGATGAAGATCTGAAGATGTCGTTTATCTCAACGTGTACTTGGTTGACCAAGCCCAGTTTCCTTCCACATACCCCTCCGAACCGAGCCAACTGGACCCCTCCCCCCCCCCCCCCCCTCCTCCTCAGGTGGCTGACCTCCCCGCTTTTCTTGACCAAGTACTGGAGAGGTTCCCGCTTATCTCGGACCTGAGCATGATGCGTAACCCCGCATGTCCCGGGCTCATGGACATCAAAAGGCCGGATATGGAGGCGTGCAGGATGTACAGGACGTACGTGGTGTTCCGAGCGCCGCAGCTCGTCACCGTGGACGGCGTTGACGTCACGGAAGGGGTGAGCAATCGTCCGAAGACTCAAGCCTCCCGCTCAGGACACCAACCAGTACAGTATACTGCTCTCCTAAGGCTACAGGAGTCAATTATACGTCGGAAGGAGAAGCAGTGCGTGGCTAGTATCTGGGTCCGTTTGGCGCCGAAAAAGTAGGGGGAACGGGGACGTGTGCTGCACGCCTTGCTGTCCTAGATGCAGTGGTACGGAGGGTTGCAAGCAGTCTGTTTATTGGGTACTCCTCCACACTTGTCAGTCGCTGAGTTGCTCGAGTTGTTTGGCAATCAAGTCGGTCGAAATAGCTGGCAGGCATGGTGTACACGCCTGTGAAACCGTGTGTACTGTACGCTCCTTCCTCTGTTTGTTGGAGATGTCTAACCCCCCGCCCCCATCTTCGGGAAGATTTGGCAAACGAGCCACAACCTTGGATGATGCAGCTGCCCGCCGATGCACATATCCCCACCGCACCTCCAGCCTTTTTGTACCCTTTCGTTTCACCTCTCTCTGTCTGTCTGTCTGTCTCTCGCTCTCTCTCTCTCTCTCTCTCTCTCTCTCTCTCTCTCCCTCTCTCTCTCTCTCTCGCGCGCACACACACTCTGTGTCGCTTTTTGGACGCCCTTATCGCGCTCGCACACAGGAGCGCAGGGATGCCGCTTTGAGGGGACAGTTCACCGTCAAGCGGCGGCCGCAGGAGGCGGCGGCGGGAGGTGCTCACCCGATGCTGGCAGAGCCCGGTGGCAAGAGCAGCGGCGGGATATTCGACCGAAAGCCCAAGGCGGTGTTGGACCCGCTGGCCGTTCGCCCGCTCGTGAACGTCGCCTCGTTGCCGAGCCGGAAGCCTGTCGGGGTGTACGGCAGGGAACGCCGGTCAGTATTTTACGCTCTCTCTTCACGGGGGCGGTAGGGTTAAGGGAATACTGATCTTTGGTTGCGATGCGGTATCAGCGGCAAGCGCTACGTCTCCCTTCGCATCATTGATTGAGAAGGCTAGCACCTTTTGGCGGCCATCCTTTGCGTTCACGTTTTTTTTGTTTCTTTCAACCTTTTTCGTGTGCCAGTACAGGCTTATCCGGACGTTCTGCTGACGCGACCCGCCCCCCCCCCGGGGGTTTCTCTTCCCTCCTTCTGCCGTGCCACACGCTCGCGCCACAGATACGACGGCGCGCACAGCGAGGGCAACCGCTTCATCGTGGACGACCACTTGTGATGCATGGCCATGTTTTTGGCGTAGCTGGCTCTATTGTTGTCCTGGGAAAGTCGCAGTTGGAATGGCGCTGAGCCATGGCAGACTGGGCGAGGTGTTACAAAGAATGGTTTGTACAGGAAAGACAAGTGTTCCTCTTGAGCTGTCTGGGGAGGTCAGTTTTTCATCCGGCCGGGCGAGATGCAGCCATGTACTTCGCAGTCGGTGCTGGTGATTTCAATGTTGTGGTGATGCGTGGGACCACAGGGGCGGCGGTGAATTTCGAGTTCCTGTGACGGGGCCTCTCTGCGGGTATTATGGCGCTCTGTGGCAATTTGTTTCCCCCCTCCCTGGCTTGTTGTGTTTTACAGTTCTTCGTTCCACACCTGTTGCGGACAGTGCCGGAATACCGTTCTTGTGTTTGCTTCCATAGGCAAATGAATGACGTAGAAAGGAAGAGCGCAGCGAAGGTTCGGGAGCCGCGTACAACGTTGCATGTAAAATCAAATAATGTATGCATACGATTGCAGGTTCTTATGTATGCTCCCTACTGTTGTCGCCCGGGATTCTGTTTTGTTCTCGACTCGACGGCGGGTTGGTAGGGTGTCCTAGGTTTGTGTGTCTAACCGCTACATATGTAAAGCGAGAGGAGCTTCCTCTGCTGAACAACTCGGAGACATCACCCGCGATGCCTCAGAAAAGTGTTTCCTTTGGTTCCCTGCGGTTGGAATACTGTAGCTCTCGCTTGCCCGCCGAATCGCTGTACTTCGCATGGCGGAGGGGCGGCAGTTGATGTTTGTCGCTTGCCTTCATCTGGAGATTACCGGAGGGTTGGATATCACCTCGGACTCCCAGGGAATGAGGATTTTCGCAATGTCGCGTTCTCTGAACAAAACTTGAGGTTAGCAGCACTCTATTTTTGTCAACTCAATCGTGCCGTGGGGGTGGCGGCGGCGGTTCTAATCGAATCGTATTGAGGGCACGCCGTCTGGCTGGTCTGGTGTGGGTGGTCACGTGTTCAAGGCTTTAGTACAATCATCAATCATCACGCATTGCTGAGGTTGCCCTCACGAGTGCCGCATATTTTGCGCCACGTGGCCCCCGGGTAGACTATAGTCCTTTCCACAAGGCGCCACGAACTCCATCTTGTGGACATCAAATCTGACGCTCAGGCCGCGTGTGCCCGTGTGGACCGGCACGGATTTCTAGGGCGGAAATCGTCACAATTTTCTCCTGTTCTGACGCCCTTCTAAGGGGTTTCGGTTTCTGCGACAAACAAAAAATACTGCAAGGTCGGAGAACTTTTAGTTCCTTCCACGCTAGACAAGGGCGGTCCATACCCGCGACAAAACGTGGACCACGCCTGTCTTCCGTGGGGGTGCTATTGAACCCGGAAAACAGTAACAGCCATCTGCATCAACGTTTTGGATCGAGAACGAGTGTATCTGATTCGCGATGCGGGGTTCGGTGATACCTGTGAGCTGATATTTTATAAAAGCAGGACAGGGCGAGAAAGTACCGTCGCTCATCGTGCGCTTAAGCTCTGTCTTACTACCAGCTGGCCCCGCACCGCCCTCGGCGATGCTGACCCACGACGACTAGCGCCAAATCCCCCCACTATCCTACCCCTCGTCACACCCTTCCCGGAGGTGTCCGGTCGCACAGGTACCCGTCGAGGCGTTCGTCTCAGGCCCCTACCGCTAGCATGGCCGCCGTCACCACCAGCCAACAACCCGGCGGAGACAAACTGCAACGGGCCCGCTTTGGTTGCTGTGGAGCTGATGCTGCTCTCGCAGTAGCGATCGAGCTCTTCCTCGGCGTACTTTCGGTGCGCCCGGGCGGGCCTCCTGCTGACGTCCACGAGGATTTCGTGTCCCCCCGCACCCCCGTCGTCACTGCCCCCTTCCACCGAATCGGAACCGCCGCGGTCATCATCTCTTACAGCGTTGTGGCGTTTCTCCAGTCGAAGTGGTGGGATCTTGTCGCTGTTGCTCGGTGCGCTGCCGAAGGCCTTTGTTGCCGTGTCGATGGTATTGATGCGCCCCTTGCGGGATCGACAGGAGGGTAGTAGCGGCTGCTCGTTAGAGTCACCTCCTTCGTTATTTGCTGTGCCAGCGACCGGGCGGGTCGTGCTGGGTATTGACGTTGCCCCCATGACAACACGCTCCGCCGCTCTTATCTTGTGGTCCTCCTGCGCCCGCCTGGGGACACGACGAAAGCAACGACGCGGGGACACCGTCCGTTGGATACTTGTTGAGAGCAGGAGTCATCGCAAGCAACAACTAACGTGGGAGGTTTTGGATTTGTTACCATCTAACTACATAATCTGGGGAGGGAAACACGGCAGGAGACGCATCGAGTCATTGTCGTTCGAAAGGCGTATGTACGACTGGTTCACAGGGCTGCCGTGTTACCCCTATAGTAGACTTCGCTCCGACGGGGCGGGGATGGCCTACAAGGGGAGGAACAACCTTACGAGCCCAACTCTAAGGCAGGGGGGTGTTTTCTCGTTCGAAACCTCGACCCACACCCCAGGGAACCCCATGGTTTTCACGGCACTCGAGGCCATGTGCTGTGTGGGGGAGGTAACTTACTCGGAGCGGGGGGCTACCCCCGGGTGAGACAGCAGGGCTGCCGTCTTGATACATAATGCTTTGATTGGCATTGCATGTCTTAAGGGGGCCGGTCATGAAGAGGTGGGAGGTGGGGTACTCGTTGCGAAGAGGGTCGGCTGCGGCGGTGGCTGCGGCGGCGGCTGCGGCGGCTGCGGCGGGAGGGCGACTTGCAGACATGGGATCACGTGACCTACTTGTGCACAATAGAGATGGAGAAAATAGCACCGAATCGAAAGGCAGTCGTACATCCAGGCCCGTCCCACTACCAAGCGCGCGAACGAAGAGACTTACTGTAAGACTAAAGTTGGCCAATCCGAATACCTACCTGTTGACCCGAAAAATCCACGGGGTGTCCGGGTCGTTCTTCTGGCGTAGCACGCCCTGGAGGTCCCCCAGCGGAGACCATAACTGCCAGAGACAGATGTGGGGGGGAAAGGCCGCGAGACCGGGGTGACCATGCAGTATTTTCGTGAGCAACAATAGAGTGTAGTGCGATTCTCGTTGGTAAGCTATGTAGCGTAGTGTTAGCACCCCAAAACTGTGGTCGACAAACAGCGATGTTGAGATGAACGGCAAAAGGTGAAGAAGGCACAATCGATGTTGTTGCCGCGAGGGACAGTTTCTGACACAATGGATGTTGTGAGCTGTAGCGCGAGAGTTGAACCCATAGCGACTATGATGTTATGGCTCATGGATATAGCGAAAGTTTTTGGGTGAAGAAAGGGGACGCCAGGTACATGTATGCGCTCTGAAGAAGAGCAAACGAAGCGCGGCTGTTGGTGGCCTCGTTCTTGCCAAGGGGAAGTATTTCCTGTCCAACCGGTGTTGAATTGCGTCGGTATTCTGTTATCGATCGATCGCAAAAACTAGTAGATAAATATTTATCTCCCATCAATATAACAGGTGGCGAATTTGAAAGCGTTCCGGAACCAGCCCACTAATTCAAAAACCAAACTCCATACATACCTTGACAAGACGATCCATTGCGGACGTGATCACCGTCGGCGGGTCGCTGACCATGCTCATGGAAATTATAGGTTCAGAGTGAGCTTCCCAAGATCCAATCCTACGAAGAGATGTAGCATACAGGGGGTGGGAAACCGGGGTGTGCTTGACACTATGTAGGTAGAGGGCAAGGGCACCGTACTGCTTGGAGTAGCAACTTATTAGCCCTCCTTCAACCGTGTGAACCACTTCAACCAACCGCGGTTCAACAAAACCTTTCGACCATGATGCTTGCATTCCTAAGCATCACCTCCCAAGCACGTGTCCCAACCAGTTTTGTGCAAACGTTGGTCCCAAGCTGTGAAGCTGTGAACGGTTGCGAGAAGTTGTATTAGTAGCATCTAGATAGCACAAGGGTGTGAGTGCTTGCCGTCGGTACGGGTGAAGCGAAGAAATTTTTTCCCTCCGACACATTAGACTAGTGGACTAGGACACCTCGGTGCTCACAGGAAGATCAGAATAGGTGCAGACCCCCTGAGGAAGGTTCCCGATTCTTTTCGACCGGCTCAGGTTCCACCTGACGTATCCCGGTAGCGTGCGTCCAATAATTGATAACAGTGGACCTTATTGCCAGCCTCCGGAAGTTTTAGCAACGAGGCCTGTGTTTCACCTGTGAAGACCGAGGATGTCCGTGTTGGCAACCCAATCCAGCGCCGCTTTGGCATCCAGACGATACCGTGCTTCACGGAGAGCGCTTTCGGCGTCTCGCCGGGCAATGAGAAACGCGTTCGAGCAGACCACGGGCGATTGCACCACACCCACCCCGTGCCCGGCCCACTCATGCCCACCGTACCTGCAGCACGCACGTTCGCGGGCAAGGCAACCAAGAGGCGCCAGCACAGACGCAGCTGTTTTACATTTGCTGTCTTCTTCTGTGGGCGTTTCGCTGACGGTTTCTAGCTAGAACTCGAAGCCTATCCCTACAAACCAAATGTCGGGGGGGGGGGGGGGGGGGGGGGCCCCCCCCCCCCCCCC